ATAAGAACTTTTAGTAGAAATTTTGAATAGAATATAAAGTTCTTAGCTAGATTCTTATCAGTGTATTCTTCTCAAACACATTTTGATGATCTTAATACTACCTTAGAATGCTACGTGAAGTCTTTTCACTATCAAAAATGTGTGTGACATAAATAAAAAAAAATTGAATCTTCTTTTATAACATGTACAAAAGCTCTTACTCCTATCAGTAATGATTTAGTTATATTAGACATATGATTTTTTTATTTCAATAGTAAAAGCCAATGTTATACTATTAAAAAATTAAGATTATAAGAAATTCTATCTATTTAAAGATTATACATCTTTAATTATAATAAATCTAAAATAAATTATTTTAAATAAAAACATCTTAATATTAAATATTACTAAGTTATTATAATTATTAGTTGTTATATCTAAAATAATAATTTCATGGATAACATCTCCAAAAGACAATAAATAACCATCTATAACTTCTACATGCATATATTTAGTTTTCTTGACTAAGTATATTTCTTCTTTTTTTAAAAAAAATGGCTTTTATAAAAACAAGCTAAGACTCTTGAATCTAATTAGAAAAAGGCTTTGTATTTTGTGATCTTATAAAAAAATCTTTTGTAAAGCAAGGTGAAAGATTTCAAGATAAAATAAGATCTTTATTAGGTATTGCACAAGATTTTAATTGCACGATTTCTATTATAACTAAATAAACTTATTTTTTGATATATTATCTTCTTTGGCAACCATACTCCTCATTCTGTAATTGTATTGCTTCTTTAAATAATATTGAGCAATGTATATAGGTTCTCTACAATATAAGTACAATTTGTTTTAATGACATTGGATCTTTTTTTGCTCAATAAGATATTTAAAATATGTTGTATGAATTTGTGTTGATTTTGGCCTTAATATAAAAGTTTCTACAAACTTAGAAGTTGTTGCCATGACTTGATTTATAAGTCTCTAATCAAGACTTTATTCTTAACATCTTTCAAAAAGTTGATTGTAGCATATAATGGCTTGAATAATAAATTATTCTAATAAATCTACTTTTAATATTGTCAACAATAAGTCTTTTATATTATCTTTGAATTCATCTCAATGTTGATTGATAAGGGTTTTATTTTTCTAATCTATTTCACAAGTAAGATTTTGGACTTCAGCAACATATATGGTGGTTAAATATTATTTTTGTTGTAAAGATAGGAATTTGGTCTTTGCTACTCTTTTTGAATTAATTTTTTAAAATATGGCTGTAAATACTTCTAAGAATGTATTTAGATCAAAAAGAAGTTATGAATTATTTTTCATTAAAATTAGATTTTTTTAAAAAAATACTTCCAAATAAAACTACGCTTATGAATTTGACTTAAATAAATCTCTTACAATATTAAGAAACAAAAAAAATAATAAAATAAAATAAAATAAAACTTAAATAAAACTTTACTTATTATTGCAATCCTCAAAATTTTAATCTTGTTCTACCAAACTTCTCTAGTATAATTATCTTTATTTTCTTCATACTTGTAATATTAAGGTTTTTGGGATTTAATTGTAAACTTGATCTACCTACTTCTTTCAATTAAATAATTTCTTGGTATAGATTTTAAACTTCATTGTTAACTTCTTTCAAAGGTGTAGGAATAATACTTCCATAATTGATGTTGCTAATATATGAGATTTCCTCCCTAAAAGTATTGACAAGCTCATGAAGATCTATAATAGTTGTAAATCTATTTTCACTTCCATTGAGTGCAGCATCTATAATTTTTCTTTCATATCTATAACATATGATTTTAATAAATCCATAAATCAAATTAGATGGAAATAATTTGCAACCCCAAATATTAAATGAAAATATCTTTAAAGAAAGATCGTACATTTATTTTTTTAAAATTAATATTAGAAAATAAAAATATATTTATCTAAAAATAGATAATTTATAATCTTTAAAGCACAAAAAAAATAAGATAATCTTTTCACTTTTAAAACAAAAAAAATAATAATTAATATTCTTATAAATTATCAAAAATATGAATTTTGAACAATAAAAACCTCAATATATTCTTGTGTCACTCAAAAAAAGTAATACATTAGAACTAAAATGGCTATTGTAAAAGATTAGAGACTCTTAAAAACAAGACTAAAAACAAGAAAGACGTTGACAAGAATAAAGAAAGCTTTACTTTTACTTCCATATATATATTATTTAACTAAAAATTATGTAGTAATATTCTATAGAATCTCCAATACGTATCTAATCTACAAGATACATATCTAATTTGTAAGAGAAGTTTCCTATATGTGTACTATATGGCCAACTTGTACTACAAGCCTCCATTATATGTAATATATAGCCAAGTTATTGGTCAAGTTTTTAACCTACTAATCAACTATCAATACATTATCTACTATCTAATACTTCTTATTTAGATGAATATGTATATTTATGATAGTATATAATTTTTTAAAAAAAATAATATATATATATATATTATTTTTTAATACTAGAAAATTTAAAATTGATTTTTATAAATTTTATTGAATTAAAAATCCAAATTTTTTTATAAAATTAAAAAAATACATAAGATAAATTTAAATATAAAATTAATATATTTTTAATAATATTATTTAATAAAAATAAATATTTTATTATTAGATTTAAATAGATGACTACCAGAAGTATACATTTATTGTAATTATTACGTAGGTAATATAAATAGATAGAAGTAAATAAAAGTAGATCAATTTCATAATATTTTTTAAGAAAGCTTCCTAGAAGCTTCATAGATAGTGCTTTGACTTTATATGTATTTGTAATTGATTGATAGATTAAAAACTTGGTCAATAAGTTAATCACATACCACACGTATTGATAGCTTGTGGAATGAGCTAAATATGTGGTGCCCATATAGAAAACTTGCCTTGCAAGTTAAGATATGTGTCATTCAAAGTCAACATGTTTTGGAGGTCCTATAGAACATTGCTACGTAGCTCCTAAGTAGATAATATATATAAAGGCAAGAATGAAGCCTTCTTCACTCTTGTCAATTCTTTTCGTGCTTCTAGTGTAGTTTCAAGAAGTTTTTAGTTTTCTTGTCTTTTGGCAATAGCCATTCTAGTTTCTTTTCAATATATATACTTCTTTATTTCTATTTTGTCATACTTCTTTGAGAAAGTCTCACTTGTTTATTTGCTTTCATCAAGTTCGTTTCCTTGACAATGACTTCATAAATAAATAGATGGCATTTTGAAAAGATGTACACAAATAGTCACTATTGCATTATATATATATATATATATATATATATATATATATATATATATATTTATTTATACATATATATCTTCTAAATTATTTTTATTTTTTATTTTTTTTAAAAAAATATTTATTGATAGACTAAATAAGATTTATCAAGGATTTTGTAATAGTATTGAAATGAGCAATTATTCTTAAAATTCAAAATTGAAATAAAATTATATTATTTATTATAATTACTTTAATAATATAAAATATTTAGATAAAATACATAAATTATTTTTTGTAATAAAAATACAATAAATCATTAAATTATAATATAATACATATTTAATAGTTTTTATTTATTTTATATACATATTAATAAAAAATATAGACTATTCAAAAAAAATCTTACATATTCTTAAATTTCCTAAATATTTTTATATTTTTTAAAATTAATTATAATATTCTATTGCTAAAATTATAAAGAAGTTTTTTTACAATTCCTTGTATTTATATGACTAATAGCTTAATATAAGTCTCTAACTACAAATTGTGTTCTTTAACACATGCATAACAATGCCAAACTAATACTTCAAGTATTTTCAACCACATACTTCATAATTATATTAACTATTGAGTTTTGGCTTGAATCACTTGTAAAATGTTGCTAATTAAAAACTTATAAACAATGCCCAATTATACACTATGAATGTATGTTTATTCTAATAACAATTTGTTATTATTAGCTTTAGATTATAGAATCTAATATAAAACAATATATTTTAAAAACTCATCATTTGTGATCCAAATATCTTTTTATCTATGTGTTTAAATTTTGTTGTTATTTAGTTTATTAAAAGTTGTATAAAACTATTTGTCATGTTCTTTTGTAGTCTTAAAGTACAGTAGAATATTATCAGCGTGGATGATTACATTTATCTATTTTACACACGCAAATGTTATGTGGTAATATTGTGAATTTTGAAAGGGTAATGACAAGGAATTCTTAAAAATTATACCTTGAGAATCATGTGGCACAGATTTATTCAACTATTAAGTATAAAACTGAACTTCTATATAAATGCATGTGTGGAAATGAATTTTAAAAAACATTGATTAAAAGATTCTCTACATCTAAAGTGGCAACAGTAGGAAAGATGTGTGTAGAGTTTAATTCCATCTAAGCTACAAACCATGTCATGTCAAAAAAGACCTTGCCCACACGTGTCCCCTGCCATCCTTGTTTCTGATAAACATCTGAGCAAGTAGAAAACCTAACAAAAGCAGGAAGCAACAAGACCAAGTCCCCCCAACCTTATTTCATCGTATTATTATAATTATTTTTCATAAGGAAAAAGCAGAGTTTTACACGCAAAGTTACAAGAAATAGGATTCATCATTGATTGTGAAATCAATACCAGGAATTAAATTTTTTTTCTTATTAAATCGATGAATGGAGAAATGTTTAATTGGTTCCAGGTAAGACTGAAATTCTGTTCAACTTTAGACTGTTCTTTGTGGGTCCAAAGCCCAAAAATTTAGCTTACAATAAAGGTCAGGGAATAAAACATTCCGACCGTTCGATTGAGATCGCAACGTCGGCAGGGAATTCTGACTGCCAGAACAGAGCATCCGTCCAGGTGGAGAACATCCATCCGTTGTGAACAATCATCAGGAGATGTATCAACAGGATATCGTCAAAAGTGGATGAAATGTGTCCAACGATCGAGATGACCCGCCTTGAAGGACTTGTTGCTTCTCCAGCGGCCATGGCTGGACGTCAGACCCCCCAGGTCGTTGCGGTTGATCATCAGAGCTCGGCTCAGATCGGAGTGGCGATGGCTGCGTCTGCGATATCTGCGTTTTTTTACGGCGTTTGTGCGGATAGACGTGTTTCTAGTTGTTATTTTTCGTATCTTTGGGGGGCGTGATTCGAAGCAGGATTGCGACAGATATAGGCGTTTGAATCTGCCGTACCTCACGTCCGTTGTTGTTTGTTGGCAAGAGGTGTACCAGGATGGAGGCCTGTGCTGTTGGTGATAGAATGCATGGCAAGTCGTTCCTGAAAGCAGTAGGTGTCGAGGTTTTTATTATTGCGTCGTTGTGATGAAGTGCGGGAGAGTGATTCGGAGTGCGCGTTTAGCTTGTGGAACATGGGAAGCGTGGGAAGCGTGTGGGAAGTTCCGGGAATGAGGATTGGTTATTTTGCAGGAATAGTGTGGGCATGAATGCTGGTTTGGAAGGGAATCTGCTCGGATTCACTCGAGGGAGAAGGCGCAGACCCGTGTAAGAACTTGTGTGTGTATGTGTGTTTTTTTTTTTTTTTTTTTTTTTTTTTTTGTAATATATTTTTCCCCCCCTTCCTGTGAACCATCCGCCGGTGTAGTTGAGAGATTGTGGATTTTGTTCGATACTATACGAGCAGTCGTAATCTTAGACACGGTGATTGTGCGGGAACTTCGACGAAGCATGAAGCAGTGGAGACACTTGAGGTACCTGATTATTCGTCATTCTCAGTATGTGCGTCGTGGAAAATACTCTGTAATAGAGCGTCGCATTATTGTGCATAGTGGAGAGGCAGCTCGAAAGAACTGTGAAGTTACACATCGATTGTGAGAAGTTACAAGCTGTGCATTATCAGGGTCAGTGTCATGGTTGTCACCGCTGTCGTTGAAACGAGCTGAAGACGTGTTCATATAGTTGTCTACTATTACGTGGATAAAATATCCCTGACTCTTCTGTCTGGTGCTCCGATCAGCCGCTTGTTCTGCAGATAGTTCAGACACAAATACGAAGACAGTTTGCTTTGAAGGTCCAAAGTGGAGAGCTATTATTCTTATTTCACCAGGAAAACTGTTAGAAAAATGATAGCGACAAAAAGAATTATGCACTCGCTCTCTCGAGGGTTCTGTGAATCAGAACTTGGCGAGGAAGTATCTGATCGTTAAATTTTCTATGGCCATTCCATTCATCATGTGGTGATAAGTGATTTCGATGATTGTACAACTACTTAGCCTTTGGTCATCCATGCTCAAGATAAATTCTCACCTTCTTACTGTTCCATCTTCACTTCTTTCCCCCACATACACTCCAGATAATGATTTGCGTAGAAGTCTGGGTTAAGTATCAAGATGAATTCCTTTATATACCAGGATTTTGGGCCCATTTAATATCTGTTCTATTCTAAAATCATTAGCATGGCGCAGATTCAATCACCGGGAGTAGGTGGGCGCACAAAATTTGAACCATGGGGCGTTCAGTGATCATATGGTGTTTATGTTCATTTCTTCTCTTTTCTCTTGCGGTCTCCGTCAAAGCAGTGCGCTCCCCGAGATCAGTTCCATTGAGTACATTGTATAATTTAAGTCCGGGTACTAGTCCACGTTTTCCTCAAGGCCAAGCTGAACGCCTCATCAAATCCTTAGGTCTCCTGCCAGGAGCAGCCGTAGAAAGTTCTGGTCCAGTCAATGGACCCGGCTTACACGAGAGAAAAATACAGCTAGATATTTTTACCAATTCAACATCGGCATCAGCTTCACGACATGCTGCACATTATGCGGGTTACTTCACGCTAAAGCGTAGTCATACTGCCAAGTAAGCTCTGGTTCTTTGATCTGTTTGCTAATGTCTTTTATTTCTATATTTACTTTATTTTATCTGAGACTTTTGCAGAGTTGCTTTTCCATGACCTGGTTTCGTTGTGCCTTATTTTAATTGAAAACCTTGTTCTTCTTCTGGTTTATATGGAGCTAAATAACCACCAGATCTGTGTTACTTATTGGACTAAACCGTGATAACTCATTTTGCGTACATCTCATTGTGGCAGCATGTTCTATACTTTTTTTGAGTCTAGAGGCAATAAAGGCATGGATCCTTTAGTGCTTTTGATGACTGGAGGCCCAGCCTGCGCTAGTGAAGTGGCTATGTTCTACGAGAATGGCCCTTTTAAGATTCAGGACAATATAGAAAACCTTACTCTGATTTGGAACAAGTTTGGTTGGGACCAGGTAATTTCTCACTAGTTTGAGTGTTGTCACTTACACAGTTTGTGTATGTTCACTGCTTACCAGTGCATTCTCAGGTTTATCTATTTATTTAACTGCTTCCCATTGTTGGCAGGAGGCCAGCATTATATATATAGATCTTCCAGTAGGAACGGGCTTTAGCTACAGCACAAATTCAGGAGATATACGTCATGACGCGGAAGGAGTGAGTGAGGATATATTCGACTTCTTTCAGGTCGATATCTGACCAAGACTTGCTTGGTTTAATATGTCAATATTTATTTTCTGATCTCATAGATACGATGATCGTCACGAGACTTTGTTGTTCTCTTTACAATTTGTGTGAATGGACTGAAATATCCAAGCCTGAACAGGTCTGTCTTGTTAGGTGAAATGGAACTTATCGAGTACTCAGCAAACCTTGAAATCATTGGTTAACATATATGGTCAAGGGTTGTTAGAACTTAAATAAGTTCTACATTGTGAATGTGTATATATTCGCAAGCCCCAACTTAGCTTTTTATTTTTCAGGCTTTTTTTACAGCACATCCTGAGTTTGCCGAAAACGATTTGTATGTGATGGGAGAATCCTTCGGCAGCCACTACGTCCCAGCTGTGGCTGCTCGTCTGCATGAAGAGAAAAAATTGAAACAGGGACTACCCATTAATTTGAAGGTTAGTACTCATCATACATCGCGTCATTCCTTTGAATCGATATTCCTCCTCAAATCAGTTGGTTGTAAGATTATTATCTAATTTTTAAAATTCTATTCTGGTCGTTGTGAAACAGGGGTTTGCAATTGGAAGTGGTCTTACACATCCAAATATTCGATATGAGTCATATGCCGATTATGCTCTGAGCATGGCACTGATTGCTGATGATGACCACAAAAGACTTAGCAAAGTGTTTCCGGCTTGTGCTACGGCTATTGAATTGTGTGGTATGTGTGTATGCTCCATTCGAACTGTGGTTTGATGCAGGTCTATATTAAGCCAGTTTGAATCCTCGCGGAATATAAAAATAATTCATTTATATTGATGCACAGTTAGGTTATCCTTCCTTCTGACTGCATGCTTTTATCCTCCTCAACTGATTCAAGTTTAATGTTTACTCTAGGAATTTTAATGCTGTGAAAGTTTTGTTTGCCCAGTTTGCTGGATTTCGTAAAGGTGCATTTCATCGTCATTTGTTTCTAAAATTTCTGTGGTTGGAATTTAACCGCAGGAACCAAAGGAACTGTCACTTGCATTGCAGCATACCTCGTCTGTCAGAGTATTTTCAATACTATCTTGGCTATTTCTGGAAATATCAACGTATGTTCTTATATTCGTAGGACTGGTCAGTCTTAGGTGCATTAGGAGATGCAGTAGTTCTCATATTATTTGTTGGGGTACAAAAGATCATGAGCTCTATCTGACGTTATGAGATTGCGAGTTATTGTGCGATTTTTAAGTGATCGCCAGGTTTTCTTTGTTCTATATTCTGTCCTGATAGGAGCCATTAATTTTGTTGGATCTGATTCAAGCTCTTCATGTTCATGGTTAGACAATTTCTGTGAGGCATCCAAAGGCATCCTTTCAGTTTCACACGTTGCATTGAGTAGACCTGCAAAGATGATGTAACTCATCATTCTCCGCGTTTTGTACTGCACAGTCCTCAGCACTTCTTTAGTGTCCAAATTATTAATCCCATTTCAAATTGGTGGTGCTAAGATTATTGTATGTTCTCTATGTTTCAGTCATTTGATATCCGAAAAGAATGTAACGAAGATATCTGTTACGACTTCTCCAATCTTGAGATCTACTTGAATCAAACAAAAGTTCGAGAGGCTTTGGGTGTCGGCAATCAGAAGTTTCTTTCCTGCAGTCCTCTGGTCTATGAAGCGATTCTTATGGACTGGATGGAGAGCAAGGAAAACAAGATAGCTCGCCTTCTGGAGGATGGTATCCAGATACTGGTTTATGCTGGAGAATTTGATCTGATATGCAATTGGTTAGGTGATTACCTGCTCCCATTTCATCAAATAGCGGTAGTTCTTGAAAGATATGTCTATTGTATCCTGGAATAATTTTGTTTCCATTTGCTAGTTTAGGTGCCAATGTGCATTACGCAACTAATTCGAGTCTATATTTTATGGATCTTTCTAGTGTGCTCCATTTCGTTGATGGCTCTTCTTTCAATTTCAGGCAATTCAATGTGGACAGCTGCTCTTCCCTGGTCAGGCCAAATAGAGTACGCCAGAGCACCTTGGAAGAAGTTTGAAGTGAACGGAATTGAAGCTGGGCTAGTCACTGGTTTCAAAAATCTAAATTTTGTTAAGGTGTGCAAATTGACGAATTTCTAGTTTTGTGTATTTGAGGCTGTGGCGCTTTCTTCTTTTTCTTCTTTTTACTTTGCTTTTCTTTACTTTTCTTTTCTAGCTTATTTTTACTTTGTATATTTAGTCACCAACAACAGGCATAGCCCCTGGATGATTACGAATCACACGACGACCTTCAAGCTTCGTTTGTATTTCAGGTTCTTTCTAGTTGTCTGTGTATGAACATTTATTAGACTTGAGGTCAAATCAAATCACCTTGTGAATTAGCGGAGAAAGAAATCTCGCCTTACAATATCGTTTTGTGAAAACTTTCACAGGTCCAAGATGCAGGGCATATGGTAGCCATGGACCAGCCAAGGATTGCTTTAGAAATGTTTCGTCGTTGGACAAGAGGAATTCCTCTAGGAAACAGAATAAAGTTAGAGTATTAGTTTTTACGAAAGTGACCACAGATACTTCGTCAGCTCACCTCATCAATGTAATGGATTGTGACATGGGGATGCACATGGATTTGAAATTGCCCATTTTATGGGCTTGTGCCTCCACGATGTGCTCGTCGTCATAAAGTAAGCATGTACTGGATGCACAAGTTCTGGATCTTTTTGTGCTAGATCTGCACGGGAGGAATAAACTCGTTCTTCGATACTGAATTTTATTTGTTATTATTTTGATTTAACACTACCAATTTTGGTCTGCAGCATTTTGTTTATTTCGTTTTTATTTTTATTGTATTTTATTTTTTGCATGAAATTGAGCTCTCACGTATGCAGTATGATATGAATTTTCGTTTAAACTTTCTATTAAAAAATTCAGAAGGTTTTTAGAATATTTGAATAAGGATTTTTAAGAACATTTAAAAAAGGGTGGGAAGGTTTTAAAAGAATATAGAAGTCTATGAATGTCATTTTTTTAGTAACAAAGTTTAAAATATGATTTTCCCTTCAAAGATTATAAATGTATGTGTGAATATATAAATACATATATACAAATGAAAATGTGTAAGTCATCAAAACTATTGATTATTGCTGATGTTATAACTAGACAACAACTTGTAAATTTGGTAGCATTAGTGACTTTGTAAATGACTTCAAACTTGAGATCCACCTACATTCATATAGTTTACTATCATTAACATACACAAATAAAGAAAAAAAAAGTTGAAAAAAATAATGGTTTATTTAGGACCATATGTACATCCCTCCTCTATCCACTAATCTGACAACAATCATTGCAAAAATGTCTTGTCGTTCAACAAGTGATCGCGGTTCAACCCGCCACAAACGACCAGAGGCGAGTTCTCCATCAACAGGGAGTCGACCTCTTTCGATCCGGTGAGGTTTCCGAACGGATGGAGTTACATTAGGTCAATTGAAGTAGATTCGGATGAATTAGGTTATTATAAGTTTAGGTTAAATTGGATGAAATGTTATTGGATGGAAATTAATAAAGTGAATGAGAATTAAGCAAAGGATGAAGTATTTAATCATGGATGAAATTTAATAGTGGATGATAACTTATAATTGGATGAATTTTTGAATGGATGAATTTTAATTAAATAAAAAAATATTAAAAAATATTAAAATTTTAACAATTAAGAGAAGGAATTTGTTTGCATGCATTTTTAAGTAATTTAATATTATAAGTATGAGTTAATGGTAGAAGTTGGGCTTGATTAATTAGTGGTTTAAGAAGAATAAAGAGTGATTTGATTAGGATTTAAATTAGAGCCACAACTTATAAAATTTGCATAGTTATTTCAATTGTTGTGAATTAGAATAAAATTCCAATTGGTGGAGATTTATTTTAACTCACATTACCTTTGATATCAACATTCTCATCAAGGTTCCGATGTTCTACTAGTTGGAAAATAAAAATCAACCTTTCAATAAAAGCACAATTCTCTATCTATTCAATAGTATGCTATGCTACCACCTACATCAAATTAACAAGGCTTCATCACTTCATGATAAATGCCTAGTAAGGCTTTTGCAATAAAAAAAGTGGATTTTATTGGCCAATTTTTATATTTGGCAAAACGACCTTTGCATCATATATTAGGCATGTTCAATCCACTGCACTCCAATAATTAGGATATGGAATATAAGAATTATAATGTCTTTAGATTATACAATATTCTCTTGTCTTTTTAGGAAGAACAAGCTTATTTTTGCCCAACAATTTGGCAATATATTAAAAATAGCTTCTTAAAAAAAGGCTTTACAATGCTCACAAAGATGTATCAGCTTGTGGATGATGTACTTTTGCACAACTATTAGAACACACATCCAATCAAACCAACACTAAAAGCAAACATTTATCATATTGCTAATTCTTCCTAAACTTGAAAAACTTGTTGTGCCAAGAGCACTAGCAAGCGCAATAAATCTATGCATCTAAGTCTTTTCCAATATTAAAGGATTTATGTCAACCATGATATCTATAAAATTAGAAACAATCCATTTGTAGAACCAAATGGCTATGATACTTCCTATTATAAGCACATCATTACTTGCCACTATTAGAGACTTACTTTCAATGCTCCCTGAATAATTTGTAGCAATGATGCTCTAATAAATAGCCAAATTCTTATTTCAAGACCAAGTGTTGTACATGGTTTGTTCCATCATGGCAAGAATTAATAGCATGTTGCTCTCAAGATCCTCAATAATTACCACCTCTACACCATTAATCAAACCAACCATAGCCATCTACATTAAGTATGCTCTTAAAGTACGTGCCAACCTTGGCAAACTATTTGCACTCTTTTTTAGAAAATTTTCTTTAGAAAATAACTACTTAGCTTTCGTTTGAGATTTTACCATCATTGTAGATGCATAAAACGCCCTAGACATATATTATGTCTTGTAATTTTGTACTTCTTTGATAGAAGATGTATGAGGTATATTTCAATCTTATCTTCACCTATATCTACTCTACCTACCTAGACAATGGTACAATAGTTGGCTAAAATATTATTTATTCTTGTGGACATTACAATCTAATATGAGACTATCTAAACAACATCAAGTATCATTATAATAAAAACTTGAATCAACACATGCTGAAATATGATAATAGTATTATTAGCCACTACAAAACTCCTAAATATTTATATTATAGCCATTGATATTCATATTACTATTATTGATAATAATATTTGTTATTCCATAGATATAGTCTCTAAAATTATTAATATTATTGAGATCATTGTTATGATAGATGCCATTATTAGCATCGATAATAAGGTCCTACTTGGTCTCAATTTGATGATTTAAACATCAGGTTTACTAGATGTCATCTATCAATGCATGACAATCAATTTATCCAATGTTGCTCTATATGTAATCTTGTTTTCTATAGTGACCATGACTTTAAAAGCAATTGCTTTTCCTACCTCACTTTTCTTATTTGTTATCAAACATAACCTTTATAACTGATCCACCTTTCTTAGTTTTTGCCTACTTGACAGCAATATCTATGTTTGAATACATCCAAATTAAGGCCAAAAGATATAGTTCTAATACTAGTTCAACAACTATCTACTCTTGTTTGCATAAACACTACTTTTATAGTGCTCTTATTCTCACAACATGAGTACCATAACAACATTGTCATTACTTTTCAAAGTTAAAACCATAGCAATGTCTCTCCAAACAAAGTTGTATTTTAGTGGCTCATGGGATATATAATAGTTTCTATCACAAAAAAATCACCACTTTGGTAGTCAATCCTTTGGTTGCTCCAATCTTTAATCATATACATCAAGTCTTGGCTTGCTTTATAGCCATTTTGAAAAAAATAGTCAACCAACTCTCTCTCACCACTCATACTTCTATTGGATTAAACAAAGTACCATAATCCAACATCACTATGGCCCCACCAAAGACACAATTCCAACCAATATACATCTAATCAATTTACTAGCAAAAATTTCTTATAAGGATGCATGAGATCTAGCTTGATGCTAATCTAATAGTCAAGTGGAAACAACATGTCACTTGACTAATTCATGAAAATCTTGATATCTTTACTATCATTCATATTGATGTTGGCAAAACCATCTTGATCAATTGTGACATTGTGACTAGATTTCTATCCATTTGGCAATTTAACTATTAAAAAAAACATGAAGAAATAAGAAGTGATCAAATATGAGGTATAAAAACTATTTAATACCAATATTGTTAGTCTTTTCCTCTCTCTATGGGTATTGCTTATTATTTTGATGGAAAAGAAGAAAAATAATACTTATTTTTGTATCTACTACCAATGGTTGAATTCCATTACAAAAAAAGATACCTATCATATTCTATGTATTGACAGCATCTTAAACAAGCTTCAAGAGGTCACTATCTTATTGTCTATTGATTTGACTAGTGGATTTTGACAAGTTCCACTTTCCAATGCTGCCAAAGAAAAAATTTCCTTCATTTATTCACAAAGCTTGTTCTAATTCAATACTATGCTTGTGAAACTGTGTATTGCTATGCCCACTTTTCAACAACTCATGGATTTGGTATTGGAAAAATTCCAATGAAAATGTATCCTAATATATGTTGATAATATTCACATTTATTCTAGAAACTTTGATTCACATCTGGACAATCTTCAATACATCTTTACTTGCATGCAAAACAGTAGAATCATAAGTAAAAAAATATATCATTGAGTTGTACAAGCTTACATATCTTTGCACCGTTGTTTTTGTTATGAAAGTATGGCCTGATTTTGACAAAATACAAGCAATTTCTTAATTTTTATTTCATCTTAAACTCAAATGTATCTAATCTTTCATTGAGTTGATCAATCACTACCAAAAATTTGTTTGCAACTTTTCTATTACTATTAGACTCTTTTATGGATTAATGAAGAAAGGCATGGCCTTTGTCTAGGATCAAGCCAAGTAGTCCACTTTTGATAAATTCAAGACCGACCTATATATTGTTCTTCTTCTTATTTTTTTCCATTTCTACTTACCATTTATTCTAAAAACTAATGCCATCCATGATGTGTTATGTGTTATTTTGAGTCAAAAGATTGATCATAGAAAATAGGTTGTAGCTTATGTTTTATGAAAAATTTCTAAAGTCAATAAGAACTATGGAATCAATGACAAAGAAGCCCTTGTTTTTATTTTTTTGTAAATCACTTCTAGCCATATCTTCACAACTCAAAATTTTTGATCAAAATTGATCATGCTCCTACTTGCATCCTAATAAAATCAAAAAACTTGACAAGATGATTGGCACATTAGGTTCTAATCCTTCAATTCTATAGTTGTACCATTATCTACAAGTTGAGATGGCTATATATTAATATTAATATATTAACCTAGATTGATCTCATGGCACAAGAATCCTATTCTACTTTCTAAGATTTGGATTTGATTCAACAGTTATTTTTTTTCACCACCACTAAGGCAACCAATGGATCATAGCTTCTTGTTACATGATCCTAACACATTACCTACTCCCAAGCAAGATATAAGCAAAGTTATCTCTTGTTCTAATTTTTTTAATTAATATGAGCTTGAAATAGTAAATTCTATATTTATTGTATATATTTTTTTTATTGATGATCCAAGTTTACTTGAGCACATATACAAAGCTTGTGGAATTCTAAAATTTAATAACATGCCACACTAGAAGAAATTGTCATATATTTTATTTTTAAAAAACTTTAAGATTATGATTAAAATATAACAAGTTTTATTGTTATGATAGCCATTTAGGATACTTAAAAGTGAAGTTCACAAAGGCAAGTACTTTCAATCTAATACTCAAAATAAGAAGTTGCTCAATATACAATGTATGTATCCATTATAGAAGCAATGTTATTTGATGTACTCATAGAAGCTTGTTGGATTAGCTCAATTGCTACTAGCCTAGACAAGACTTTGGCCAAAAAGATGAGATACCATCTTCCTAAATACCTCACGTAAGATGGGACTTTTTTTTACAAAAAGATAGTTCCAAAAGGCATTTGTATCTTGTAGGTTGCCAAAGCTTCAAATTTCTTTTAAATCCTAAAACTATTCTATGTGATATACATGTCAAGATACTTTGCAATACAAAGAAAACTTAAACATCTTCAAGAAATATATCATTGGATTGACATGATAGGCAATATAACCAACTTTATTAAAAATTGCCTACTATGTTAAATGTAGCAAACATATGACAAGAGTATCAAATTATACATGTTGACTTCTATTCCCATTTTTGAGCCCTTTACATGGGTAGATAGGACCTCATGGGACCATTAACAAAAACTACCTCTTGTCACAAATATGTGATTGTTGCTACTTGTTATTTCACCAAATGAAACAGAAGTACAAGTATTAGAGTTAAAAGATTGTGAGAGTATTGGTCAATTTTTCTTTGACTTTGTTATGATACAATATATTAGTCTTGTTGAAATATCAACCAACAATGGGAGTAAATTTTGTAATGCACTAATGGACATCTCAACCATTGTTTTGTGCACAAAACACACAATCACTTCATTTTACCATCTTCAGTGCAATAGATTGTTGGAGAGGTTCAATCAAATATTGTACTTATTTATCATAAAGAATAGAAAATATGATGAGTATTGGCATACCATGCTGCCAATGATCATCTTTGTCTATTGTAAAAGTGTATTTTTGAACACAAGATTCTTCAAATTTGAAATGCTTTATGGCCATAAATCACAAATATCCATAGTGCCTCTTAATTTGGCCTCAACAATGATAGAATCAATAGACATACATATATGGTTGCACAAACTACTACAACATTGGAGCCATCTCCAAGCACATGCCCATAATAACATCAACAAAACTCAACAGTTCCAAAAAAAATGCCATGTTCAAAAAAAAAATAACATACACTAGGAAATTTGTCATCAACAATGTCATCTTGTATTGCAAGGAAAACCATTGTGAAAAACAAGGCAAATTTTAAGCCAAATTCATCTACCTTTATTATATTACTACCATTGATGAAGAAAAACATCAATTATGCTTTAAGTCAATTTGGCCAAAAATTGCATCCATATTATTTCTATTACTAAGATTTGACTTAATACATTGTAATTTACATTTTAATCTCAGCAATATCAATTTGGTTGGCCGCAATGTACAATATTCACAAAATTGTTCTAAGAATAACACTACTATAGCCCAATATCTCCTAATATCTCCTAGGGGGAAGTCCTTCTATATGTGTAGAGATAAAGAATGGGCTCAACACAAATCGTGTGCTTCTCAATAAGAACTTAGCAAAGCCTACCTACCTTGTAGAACTAGTGAGAATGCTTTTCTTGCACCATTTTTAATACAAAAAACCACTTAGCACAACAGCGTCGGCATGTATTGGGGTGTGTATTATTTGCCCCATCTACATGCTTGCATCTCGTCTGGATGACTTTCATCTAAGTATCCTCCTCGTATCGTCGCTTTGTATCGTCACTATAACCTGAGCTCATGGTGGTGGGAGACCGGATTATAATCGGTCACACCAGATTGGCTGAGATAGAAATCACGACTAGCTAGTTCTTTCCCTCTACAGGGCAAGGCAAGGCAAGGCAGTAAAGGCGTGACTCTGCAGGTATGAACTGCAGGATTGCTCACTGTCTAATGTGGTTTTTTCGGTCATACTTGATAGTTGATTACTTGTCTCATTTACATATCCCTAGTTTCATGAAAGGACTCCTCTCTTTCACTGAGCATTCCCTTCCCTAAACTCTCCGAATTGACAGTTATTTTCATCCTAATTTCACCTGAAGACTTCACTTCAAAGATTAGCATACATCTGTACTCTATTTTGCTCTGTGCACAAGCCCACAAGCTGACTGGTGGTTGTCATCGGACCAGTATTGGAGCAACCCATGTTGCAGAAAACGCAGGGCAAGTCTCACAAGAGTTGGATTCCAGTTCGTTTTGATTCTAGACTGGATTCTCAAGGCCCAGAGACACCATTTTGCATTTCAATCCTGCATGGAATGGTTTCTCTCCTCCATAGGACATTGACATAATGGGAGTTAAGAATGAGTGAAAAGGTATTGCTTTGGCGAGCACACAGAGTTTGCTTGGCCGGTATACAATCTCCCACCACAGCAGATTATTTCAACAGAGGCTGTTGAAAATAAGCAAAAGTAGTAGTCAAGTGCAATAATTATGGACCTACCACATAGGAGCAAGGGCATTAATGATAACGTTGATGCTGCGTGATGATAATCCTTATCATGAACCTCAACTTTCATACAAGTTACCAGTTCATTGGAAATTTTCAAGGGTTTAATCATTCAGGGTGATAAGGATCCACTGCAGTCAGTGAAACTTCAGAAACTGTCAAATATAACCATGACGTTATCTGGCGAACTAGAGTAGTAAGTCAGCAAACTCGTATGCGTTCTCACAGACTTCAAGTCGTCGCCACTAAAATCACAAATTGCAGTTCTTCAGAACACTAGCTCATGGGGTTTGACACCGGACTTCAAACTAAATCTGGCAGCAAGGTAACTTTTCAACTCTGGTACTGCTTCAATAAGAGGGATCAGCTTAGCATCAATTGCCTTTTGGTCCTCCTTCTTCTCCTCGGGTATAGTTTGGGCTTCGTTCTGTGTTCACATAGATCACGGTATAAATTTTACCGACTGCATAATACAAAGAAAAGGCTACACAAACACACTGCTGAAAACGTTAAAGTCAGTCATGCTGCTCCAATCGGAACCGATAAGAATGATGGTGAATATTTTGCTCTGATGCACAGTGATGATAGTGAATACTTACAGCTTTCTCAGCTTCAAAAAACTCAGACTCCCCTTTGGTTTTCTTGGCAACTTCCCTCTTGAAGTAGGAGTCGGAGAACTTGGCAACATCGACAGATGAAATATCCACCTTAGTTGATGTTGCAATAACGTAAGCCTGGTTCACTCTTCGCAGTGGGACACCATTCACCTTGAATGGTCCTGAACAATATTCAAACATCAAATTAAAATCCTATACTGTGCATCAAGGCTATGAATGAAAAACGAGTGCGAAAGCACTCACCTAGTTGGATAAACAGTCCTTGACCAAATGGTGCATAAGCAGACATCGTCGCACTACAAATTTACTAAAAAGGAAAACTGCACCACATTTGCTCTGGTAATCCCTTGAGAGAACAAATTGGTCACCACAACTAGCATTCATACTAAGTTATGTAAAAAAGAATCGGAATTAGCCAAAGCGTAATCAAAACGACAGTGGATATTAATCGCTTTAGGACAAGCCTGATGATGACACATTCGTTTTGTGTACCACAGCCCTCGGTGACCACTAGACTCGAACATCGAAGGCACTACCAGAACCATAAGAACCCTAATGAGACAATATGCCAAGAGAATTACGCACCAGTGACCAAAAGAAGCCCGGATTCCAACTGCTTCAAGAACACTACACGTTTTCCCTTGAAGTGACCCGCCAACAAAATCAGAACGGTCCCAGGAGTAATGCTCGACCTGCAAGACCAAGCGGGAATCAAATCGCAAAACAGCAGACATTTCGAAGTTTAATCCCACAGAGTACTTCAATTGCTCGTGGTAACGGAGAAAGGACATGACACATCCAGCTCCCATCCTCACTCTAAAACATACCCCTATCAGAAATATAGCCGCCTACAGCGGAACGGACGGTGAGCACACTCAACTGCGCAAGATGAGACCGAATCATCAAAAGACAAAACTACCATACACAACCTCCAAGAGAATAAATAGCTAGATAGGTAATCAATTCTCCGTCCAGACCCAAAACGACTGAAACGCTCCAACCTAAATACCTACGTCTAGTCAAGTCCCCGCAGTGTCCCCTTCCACTCTTCGACGGGGACAGAAGAGAATGAAAAAAAGTACGATACCCACAATCCTCAACGAGCTCCGGCACTTACCTCAACCTAGGGGCATTGACGACCTTGTTCTTGTGCAGGGGCTTGGGGACATCATCAGCGGGATAGAACTTAGGAGCGCGGACAGCCGGAGCCGCAGCAACTGCCTTCTTCTCGTGCGAGGGGAACTTGCCTCCATTCTTCGCCTTGATGGCCCACAAGCCGCGCTTGTGATAGGTCTTCGACCTCCCGTTGCGGCCAATGCCCCGCACTAGCTCCTTGCTGCGAGTCGCTTTGGGCGCCATCGGTACACTGAGAAAAGAGAAAGGGGAAGGAACCGAACAGACGCAAACCCTAACAACTCCTGCTGCAACAACGCAGCTCGATTCCGCGCGAGGGACGTAGGACGATTAGAAGAGACCTCGGCGCGTGAAGCTCCGCAGCCTTCAAGGCCCGAGTGCGAAGCCCTAATGGATGAAACGCATCCCTTTTGCAAACATCATCCCATAATGAACAGCGGAATGTTTCAGCTATCATCCGTTCTGTTCAGTTTGAACTCCCTTCGGAACAAGAATTTGTCCCGGCGATCCATGAATTGCCAAAACTGCAGATTCAAATGCGTCGCTCTGCTAATGGAAACGTACTCGATTTGAGAGGTTGATGCGCATGGACAGTCGATTAATTGACTCCTCGAAGACGGGCGGAATGAAATCTTTGCGCGAAAGCTTTGAACGGTTATAAGTTCACGAGGTGGAGCGAGAAAAAAAATTCCAAACTTGCGCGAAGAGAAATTTGTGAGAAGGATTTTGTGGGTGTGCGGGGGAGAGAGAGAGAGAGAGAGAGAGAGAGTGAAAGGAGGGAAGCATTGCGGAAATCGATGGAAGGGATTTTGAGGTAGAGACATTCGAAGGAGGGGAATGGCGAGAGGCAGGGGGGTCGGTTATGGCGTTAACGGGGAGTGGGGGGTAAGCATAGTTAGGACGAAGCCTCAGGACCGGGGCCATGTTAACCGTTCTTTCCCCTGTTCTAGCATCCGAGTGGTGCTGCTGGGTTAGCCACATCCGCCTCGTAGCCCTGTGCGAGCCTGATTCTGCGACCTCTTCCAGGCGCAGACTTTCAGTAGCTGAGAGAATTTATGTGGCTGTGCTATTGTTTGGAATGCGTGACATGCGCTTGATAGGGGTGAAGAGGACGCAGAGTTGGAGAAGAATGTCGAGGATATGTGTCCGCGACCTCGCAACAGGGTTGAGAGGAAATGGAATTTACGCGCCGCGGTTGGATGTGGCTTTGGTGGGAAACGAAGCAGCATTTTCTGCGGCGTGAACCGCCTGAATTAACTGGGGTGTGTAGGGAAAATGATAGGGAACGTAGTGATGAGTGGTTTTGTGATCCGGTGTAAATTTGGTGACAAATGGTTTACACAATGAGTAATGCGCTCTTGCCATGAGTTGGATATGTGCGAGATGGCGATGGCGAGAGGGATGGCTGCTCTAATAGTATAAGGGCTTCACCTCTCATTGTACTTCAAAATCACGGCGTGCGCAGGTACATCAGAATCTCTTCTTGTGCGAGTCTATCACAAAGGACTGCACAAATCTATAAAAGAGTCGGCGTAAGTCGAAGTGCAATCCTTCTGCCAACAAAAAAGCACCTTAGACTGGTGCCACGCTACAATGATCATCGCAACCATTCCTGTACTCGATGTTATCCGGTTCTACTAACACTTGGAAGCACCTTCAGTTTCGGTTGTGACCGTTCTAGGCTCAATCCGTTTTTCTAAAGTTCACTTGAAGCAGCACCTTAAAATTACTTCAGTTTGTGGGGTCATGAGTCTTGGACATGCTTACGGGATGGGGTCTCTCTAGGTAAATTTTACTCATCACAGTGCCTTCGTGATAAAGGTCGGGGCAATTCCATGAGATTGTCAACAATGTACTACAGCTGTCTTCTTTCGACAAACAGTTCGCAGTAGTCTTCTCCTGCCTCTGACAGGCAAGAGGGCAAATTCTTGAACAAGACCTTCGTCTTAGCACAATGAAGCACTGCACCTTCCATGAGTCCTACACCAATAGCCACTCATAAATTCTTGAAAGACGTTCATTCCCTTTCATGAATGACAAGTGACCCAGTGCACCTGAATACATGGGAATACAATTCAAAGGCATACCTAGTTCTTAAACTTTGTTTGTTTCCGATCTATAGCTAAAGGTTTATGACGATTGCTGTCCTCGTTGTACGTTAGACTTTGACACTTGGTCTGTCCAGTAAGTCAACTTCAGCTTCGTAATCGTAAATGTGGCAAATTGCAGGTATTGCTTGACGAATTAAATAGGTATTGGCAAGTGCGTTCCAGAGATCGTATGCGCAGCATTTCTTCGACCATATCAACAATTGCAAGCAGCAGGAACAATCCAAGCCGGCTCCGTGCCCCGCAAGCTTTTCAGGAATTAAGCTGGACCTGCACAGGTATGATCCCAAAAACAACTCTGTCCGAAAAACCTCACCAAAGTGGGTGCTCGACCTAGAATGCAGCAGCCTTCATTCAAACCTCCGTTAACTCCCAATTCCCAATTCTCAGCTGCCATGTCAAGCCCCCGTAAGTACTCGACCCCCAAGTCCTCCCTCCCTCTTGGCCACTGCCTACAATCAGCATCACAAAAACTACAGATTACGCTGATGGAAAATTACTCTGCCTGCAACAGAGAACAGATGCAGGCATCCGGTGGACGAGGTTTCCAGACCCCCAGCGGCCGAGGTGGCCCTTTCATCAGCAACTACATGGCTACCTCCTCCGCCATGATGTCCACCAGGCCAAGCACATCTTCCACCTCCCCTGGCCAACAACAACACACCAGCACCAACACCTTCAGAAACGGGCCTGGTGCTGGGCATGGCTCCGCACTGGGTACCAGCAACGGGGGGAGCACCGCAGGAGGAGGAGGTGGAGGAGGTGGTATCAACATCAACAGCAAGAGCGTTGTGTTCAGCAACAAAACCTCGCCCATGGACCCGCGGTCGCCGACCGCCAGTACGAATCCGGGCGCCGGCCGCGGAGTGGGTGGACAGGGTCATCCCGGCGTCCCGCTCACGTTACGCGGCGGCGCCGTCGGGCCGCGACTGCGCGCGGAGGGTTTGATGGTGCCGCCGGCGTCGGACGCAGCCACGCTGCGGCGGCAAGTGGCGGCCTTGCAGCTGGACTTGGAGGCGCATATTGACGGCGAGATGCGGCTCCAAAGCATCAACAATGAGCTGCGTGAAAGGTTTTTCTCCGTTCATCCGACCTTTTATCCCTCCATCGTCGCGTGTTCATTCATCCTTCATCCATCCATAGTATCGTCCTATTCATATTGACTCATCTTTTTAGAAATTTAATAATAATTTGACTTCATTTTGTTTGTATTATAGGTTAGAATTGTACATGAAACAAAACCATGAAAATGTTGAAAGGGCAGAAAATGAACTGAACACCCTTCATGAAGATATGGAACAAACTTTGGAGCTTCAGCGTCGATTAGCACAAAGGTTTGTGTACATTATTAGTGAATACCTTAAAATATGAGTTGTAGTTATATATAAATCTATATAACTCCACAAATATATATATATATATATATATATATATATAAAAACTTTGCCAATTATTTATATTTTGAGATTTAAAAGTTGTGTTAAACTTTTGGGTTGATCCAAATAGGGCTCAAGCACTTGAAAAAGAAAAGAAAGATATGGAGGCTGTACTGACAAGAGCTGCCGACTCATATGAAACAGAACGAGCAATCTTAAACAATCGATTAGCTGAAATGAGTGTTGAAGTAGGTGACAAAGCAAATGCTGAGGCCAAAATTGCATTTCTGGAGGTTTTAAGCTTTTTCACATCTTCAATATTACAAGTATATATGTGTGTGTGTGTGTGTGTGCATATATATATATACATATACATATATATGTTCACAGTCAAGAAAATAAAGACATATTTAACTATAAAAAGCTGAAGTATCCTTGTACATTATATGTTGTAAAGATATTAATAAAAAAGGAATTTAGAATCTTCTTTGAAAAAAATTATTAAGGTATAAAAAAATAATAATTTGATTTAAGAATGTGATCTCATTCTGTACAGTTGTGAATTTTGATATGATTTTGAATATGAGTACAATGTGTTTGTATAGGCAGAATTATCAACTTCTACGAATTTGAAAGATAAATTAGAAGAGAGGTTGCAAATTATAACCGATGAGGTTTTATTTCTAAAAGCAAAACAAGAAGAGTACACTGAAGAAATGCATAATTTAAGTAAAAAGGTAACAATATTTTATAGCAACAAAACAACTGAGTTTTTTTTTTTTTTTTTTTTTTTTTTTTTCCATCATATGCTCGTGAATGAATTATACGTTGATGATTTTTTAATAATCATTTTATTTCAACAATTATTTTAGAGTAATTGAAATTGGAAAATGTACATTAAGATCAGGTGTTTTATGATATCAAAATTGCAGTTTATACTAAATATATTAAACAAATTATTATGATATATACTTGAATGATTTATAACCTGATTTATTTTATCATTTTATATTTTAACAGGATGAAATAGAAAAGAAAATTAGGTCCATGGCCAATTTTTGTATTTTACGACGGAATTTTTTTTATTTAAAAGAGGCAGTTAGGGACATTTGCATAGGACGTGCACATAATATGAAAGCTCGCAAACACTATGATTCAAAGTTACTCTTCATTGGTTGGCGTTTCTTTCACTTGGCATGTGGACGATCAAAGTTAATCAAAAAAAAAGTTATTGAATTAAACCATGTATGGTTATCTATAAACAACATATAATGTATTCATATTTGTGTTAAATATTTATGTAAATTTTGTACCGTTTCCTTCCAATGCTTTTAAGTAACATGTGGTTTTAGTCACATATTTTTTACATCATTTTATAAGAGTATGCACATGGTACAAAATCATTTTGAAATTTAAAAAAAAAAGAAAAAAAAAAGTGCAAATTTTCAATAGATAAAAAATATTAAATAAAAAAATACTTAAAAATATTCCTAATATGTTCATAAAATTGTAATCTGATGATATTGCTTTTTTATATTTGTTACTCATATTTTAAAATCTGATACTAGAACTTTATAAAAATAAATCCCAACAGTATTAGTTTATTTCTTCAAACAATAAAATGCTAAAAATAGCACATTAGAATTATTTTCGTTTTAATTTAAATTCTGAACTATTTTTCCAGCGTATACTGGTCAACTGCTTTTTTGCTTGGGTAAAAATGGTACAAACAAGCATAATGCATAAACGAAATCAAATTCGTCAAATAAAAGAGCGCCTTCAACGTGTTTTATATTCATGGGAGGAATATTCAATGTTGGTGCAATCAAAACCAAGGAAAAATCATGTGGCAACTCAACACTATTCTCTTCATGCTCGTGGCAAAGTTTTCAGAAGTTGGAAAATGGTAATAAAATCATGGAGCTTGAGCAAAGAAGTAGAAGAAAAACTTTCATTAGCTGCCCAAATTCATTATGAAGTCCATTGCAAAAGGAAGATAGTTCATCATTGGAAAAATTGGTTGAAATATCATGTTCGGCCACAGAGAAAAAAATTGTTGAAGATACAAACCCATATTAATAAAATGACCATGAAACAAGCAATATCTGCGTGGCAATGTATTATGCGTATCCGTTGGATGACACGTATTAAATATGATGAAGCAAGAAATTTTGAAAAAAGATGGATTTACCTAAGAACTTTATCAAGGTAACTATTTGTTTTTATATTATTGATAGAATCTTGATATTGTAGCATATCAACCCAAAATAAAACACACCACTCAATTTTAATTATTATTATACAATGATTATTTTACAATGAATTTCAACTATTCTAAATATTGTATTGACATTCAAAAATTAACCTAATGCAAGTTCTCTTTATAAAGAATCTATCTTTCTCTTTTTATTTTTATATAGATTCAAAGATGCACTTCGAGTGATAAATTTTGAAAGGAGAATCAAAATCCAAGCTTCTCAATTTAGAAAAAAGAGAAAAGCAATAGAAGTTGTGAAACGATGGCGGCTTTTGGTACAAGAGAAACAAAATCTAAGACTTTACCACCAAGTTGCATTGCAGTTTTATGCAAATCAACTTTCCAAAAAGGTCTTATGCCTGTTCAAATTTATGATTTTATTCGAGCTTCCAAATTTTTTCTTAATAATTTGGAATATTTACTTTGAATATGTATATGCCTGTGATTATGATAGTGATATTATTTTTTAGAATTAAACAAGTAAGAACATTTTAAAATACAACATATTTTACCTGAATACAGAGTCTTAGAGCGTGGACCAATGCTATTACTATATTTAAAACAGAAAAAAGAGCAATTAGAGAAGTTAATCAATGTTTAACTCGAGCAGCAATGGTTTTATGGCGAGACTACCATGTCTACCATGCACTCAAGTGATACATTTTATACTAACACTGTTATAATAATTAAATTAAAATCAGATGGCATTTTTATTTTTATTTTTTTTTAACACTACTTTCCATTTATGACTTATGTAAAGATTTGGTAAAAATGCATGTGTGCACATGAGTTAAGAAATATGAGTCACTATTATATAATAACACGAACTATTCTATGCTATTTCAATAAACTTTTAATAGGAAAAAAAAATCTACCAAAGCAAAAACATTCAGAAAACGAAAATCCTTACAAATGGCAAGAAATTGTTTGAGTAATTGGTGGGATCTAATGGCTTGGAAGAGAAGAGCTAACCAGTTGAATATTTTAATGTCACAACGACTACGCCGCAATCTTTTACAAAATAGCTTGCATAGCTGGATGAATGTCACCTTTGATGGCCTTATAGTTGCCAATGCCAAGTTCCAAGATGATTTAATACAAGCCCAAGTATGATCATGTATTTGATCTTAATTTACACTAAATACACACATGCATATTTTAAAAAATAATGTTCAAGCCTCCATAATTACCAGCAACATTTATTACCTTCCATTTATATATAAACAATCAAAAAAACATTATTTTTTTTATTATTTTGAAATTCCATTTGATTGATTTTGAAATAAATGCAGACACACATGTGAGTGTATATATATTTATAAAAAATTATCAGTCATAAAATTTATTATTGTATTTCACATTTAATTGTAGTCACAATGTAAAGAACAAAAACATCAAGTTTCAACAGTGGATGTGGAGAACCTGCAACTCATTGACCGCTTGCACAACATGGCATCTGAGATTGCATATTTGAAAACAACTATAAATGAAAGATCTCAAGAAATTCACGAGTTACATAGGGCCATTGAAGATGCGGCAATGGTAGAAAGCTCAATGCGAGATGAGATAGAGCAACAACAAGCCCGCATTGAAGACCTACAAAATGCTAATGTCATCCTTCAGGTTGGTTTAGTTCACACCCACAAAAAACTTACTTACCCATGTGTTGATTTATCATAATAACAATATCCATTGACAATGAACCATGCACTTTTTTCATTGCTGTTATTATATTGAAAAAAACATTATTTGGCAATACTGAATCATGGATTTGATTTTAGGATGGTTTGAACTTTTTTTTATTTTTCTTTTATTTTTATTTTTTTGTATAGAATATGTTTTTAAAGATATAATACTTTCTTTGGTTAGAAATTTTGAAATTGTAAATGAAAACAAATTGATGTGGAAATGAAACTGTGTGAATTGATGCAGAGGAGGATTCAAACAAAGAATGTGGAGGATACTACTGGAGAGGTTCATCATACACTAGAGCTTCAAAATATGGAACATAATTTACAGCAATTGCACATACAACTGGCAGAGCAAACTTCTCAGTTGGATTCTTATGAAAAAGTAATCTCCAATCCTTTTGTATATATATATATATATAAAGTTTTGAATGTGATAACTCCGAAATTGGTAAATACCATACACTTAAGTTGATAGAAATTTTAACATCATTTTAAGTGATGCTTCTCTACTGACTACATGTTCTCATACCTAGAATATTTTTGAAACTCCTACTATGTTGATATATCCAAGAACATAAATCACCTAATTTTTTTACATTTAATTATATATTTTTTGAAAATTATATATGTTGTGCAAATTCTGCACAACTTTTCAAAATTATTAAAATAATAATAATAATAATAATATTCTTAGACTTGTACAATGTTTCTGTTTATTTATTTTTTTTGTTTTTTGTTTTTTTTGTTTTTTCTTTTTGCGTAAAGGATTAAGTTGTTATGATTATTTTCATTGTTATTTTTGCTAATTTTTTATTTCAGTTTATGAAGATTGGATACAAACAAATTTTAAAAACCAATCACTCTGTATTCAAACTAAGTATTTGGAAAAGCATAGAGAAGAAATTTAATCACGTCATAGTTGATGACCATTTATTTTCAGTGTGTATGTAAGCAATATTTAATTTGATTTTTGTGACTTGTGAAGGCACTCAAAGAAACAGCTGAAAAACTAGAAGGGGCATCTGATGAGTCTCAAGAAAAATTAACAAGTGCTTTTGAAATTGCCGGATCATTACGCAAATTGTTAGAAGACCGTGAACAACAGTACGCTTGTTTAGAAGGAAGCTCTCGGGTACCATTCCCCTACATCATTCACCCTCTTATAATAACTCTGATCCCTCATTCCAGCCTTTTTCTTTTCCCCTTGTTTATTATCAATCAATTCACTGAAATTTGGGGCCAATACTCAAAAAACATGTGCATTCTTGAAGCACATGATTTAAAAAATAATAATTTAATGACCTGTGCAGAGACGAGAACTAGAATTGGGAGAGGTTCAAAGAAAATTGGCTGCTGCAAATTGCACATTGTGTGAGACAGTGGAAGTGCGTGATGCTCGGATAGAAGAACTGGAAAACATCCTCTCTCGAAAACAATCTGAGGTAACGTTTTTGTATTTTGAGATGGAAGTATTCTATGTAATAATACTATTTTCATTTTTATTCTTTCTACTCAGTGCCTACTACGGTTTTACATTCATTCAAGCACTACCATTTTATTGCTTGATGGAAAAAAATAAAAAATAAAAAATAAAATAACAGTAACAATATTGTTTAGGTTTCTTTAAATATGATTTTCTAATGGGTTACTACTTTCTTTTTAAAAATGGTGGAATACCTCATCAGATTCTCGATATACAATCCCATCTCCAAGATTTGGAGGTAGCATTGGATTCAAAAGAAAGCCATGTCCGCAAATTAGAATATGAAATCCAATTGATGTCTGGTAATTTCTCGTCCCTGCACCATTGATCCTATTGTCTTTGTCCATCTAACAACCTCACAACATGACCTTTTTTTTTTTTTCTCTTTCTACATATATTGATGTGTGTATGTATGTATATATATATATATATATATATATAAAAGGGAATATTTAAGTATTTACTAAATCAACCTACCCATGATGAAGAATATGACAATCATGATGAATGCGGTTGGTTTTCTTTGGTTTTAGATCCAATAGTAGAGAAATGATTCTAGAGGTCTTTTTTTTTTTTTTTTTTTTTTTTTTTGTTTTTCAAGATGATTAAGATAGGTTAGTCAATTTAGTAAAAGCCTAGGTCTATTTAACATCCACATATGTGTGTATATATATTCATAAATCTATTTTAGAAAGAGGTGTCATTAGTGATAAGTTGTGCAAAGATTATAGCTTTGCTTTGATTTCGTTTGATTTTTTCATTTTCACTTTAATAAGTAATCAAGTAAACAAATAAGTATGGTGGTATGCAGAGCCCCACGCGGCAAAAGCCTACAAGTTCATGTCAAGCATGAGCTCGTGTGCCGCAACACCGACGAGGCTGAGGCCGCACCCCAACGCCCACGCCCAAGGCGGGGGGCCATCATCGATCCCGCCCCAAGCCCAACAAGCCTCCACCTCCGCCGCCGCAGCCCCACCAGACAGTCCTCACCCGAATCCAATGCCTCTGTCGCGTCGTCCCTCCCACGGCGGAGCCATCCCCGCGGCGATGGAGTCGTCGTCTCGCGTGCCAGCAGCAGCCATCCCCGTGCAAGCGTCGTCGTCGTCGTTGCGTGAATCATTGCAAGCGGACACCATCAAGCCAACCCCTGCTCTTCAAAGCCCCCCTCCACACCACGCTGACGGAACCACCGAATTGCGATCGTCGCCTTCCGGTTAGTTACCGTCGCTCGCTACCCTCCTCCTACCTCCGTTGTCCGGTTCATTCTAGGGTTTCAGTGTGTGTAAGGTTATGGGTTCGACACGACGAATGAAACCCGCCGCGTTGTTTGTTTGTTTGTTCATCCAGAGGTTCAGTCACCGCGGGAGCTGCAGATGGGCTCGACGAGCAAGGTGCTACATTCATCTGTCCGGGGCTTGCAAAGGATGGCCGCGTGCCTGCCCATGGGCAACGAACGAATCCCGCAGGAGATGAGGGGCCAGGAGGCCGGAACGCGAAGCGATGGCTTCGTGGTGCGCGTCTCCGATGACCAGAGCGTTGTGGATAGCTTGCACTTCGAAATCCAGCGCTTGCAGGCCAGGATTATGAGTCGATTGCGAGACCCTGTTACCCCTGGATCGGCGGCGCCTGGGTCCAGTTCTCAGGTTGGAGTTCCATCTTGTTTGTAGTCACCTTTTTAGGTCGTTTTTTGATGAAAATATGTATATTTATTTAATGTTGTTTTAGAGGGCCTTTTTGCACAGGAGAGATGGTTGATTGAGTGGTTGTTTGATTGTTTTGTTGTGTTCAGGAAAGGTTATCGGATACAGGATGTGAGCAGAGACTTATGAGTGGCGATCCCACTACTTCGGCGTCAAGAGGGACCTCGCCGGGATACTGATTCTTTGACGGAGATTGGTGCAATTTCTTGTGAGGTTCTTTTTATTGAGCTTTAGCCACGGCGCCATGGCGGGTAGGTCATAGTACCGCATGTAGATGTTGTAATTAAATCGAGCATGGTTTTTGTATGGAAATAAACGAAAGGGGCAAGATGAAGTATGATGAAGATGGTGTTACAATGCCGCAAATGGTTTGCAGCCTCCTGTGCACCTCTTTTGGCCAAGAGATTAGCAGAATTGCACTGTGGCACATGTGTGATCGATTGGAGATCAAACTCAAATGACATGAAGATTGCAGGCCATCTTGTTTCGAGTCTCGTTCGATTTCAGAAGTGTTTTCAAGCAAATCAACTTCGAAGATGTACAGCCTGCACCGTGTGTGAAACTCGAAGATTTCAAGAAGGTGGGATGCTAAGCCTGCAGCCAGCTAAACAAAGGTCATGGAAACAATGTGGCCATGTATGAGAGCCTTAGGTACAACGAATGAACTTGGCTCGAAAGTAGGAGGATGGTGAAGACTAAGTGAAGCTTAATGAACGCTGGTTGCTCCTCCAGTGTGGTTGACTTGCCGTCGTAAACTTAGATCTCAGCTTGGTGGTGCTGCAGGTTCTAACTCATACTGTTGCTCTTTATGATGTATCAATCCAAGTATCTCTCGAAACCCAATGACTTAGAGTTACTATTTATACCATTCCAGACAAACCATGAGAAGATTCGGATCGGGTTTTGTACAGATCCGAATGTGTAGGTACTTATCTTGAACGAAGTAACCCCGTACCTCACCAGGTAATTCCAAGGATTGTTTGGAAACATTTCACTGCAATAATTCAAACAGTAAGCAATGAAATACGTAGTCCTTGAACGTTAAGTTGATCAGACATTGTATTGGAAGCCTTATGATTTGAAGGTGTAAAAATCAATGTGCTTGAGCTAAGTCAATCTTCCTTTAGCAACAGAGTTGCTGGTGTCATGCTCATGATGAGTAGAGCAGTTGTGTGAATTGGAGTATTCCAAAGTTTGATAATTAATTCGCAGCAACCTTCGTCTCCTTGTACTTGCGGCGCCCCGAAGGCACCACACGCCTGCAAGAACTCGAAAATAAGCTTCCCGACTACCTTGCGAGCATTCTAACCTTACAATGGCGGCAAGATGCAACAAAATATTTCCACAGTATTTCTGTTCACGCGGTGCTTGCAGTAATTGCTCCCCTCGTAACCCAACTCGTAGAAGTGGTGAAATCATTCCAGCCTGCAATATCGGGCACAATCCGTGCCGAACTCAATAATCCTTCGTGTCTTCTCTCTAGATGCACTAATCAGCGCTACGTTGGCCGTTGAAGACTTTACCACTGATTTGATCGAAAATTCCTTGTATTCTCTTCAAGTCCAGAGTCTCATCTGCTACTTTTTCAGTTTTACATGGAACCAATTCAAATATGCCTACCAATCCTGAACATTTCTACGTAGTACCAGCTCTAAGACATCAAGTTTTGTTAGGACCCAGTCATATTTTCGTGATGCTCAATTAATTGGTGAATCTCACTCCTCCGCTTAATGTTGCATCCTTGAGGAATTTGTGACATTACGGTACTTTCATTGCTTCCACATCTTGTACAGATGATATTACCATGATATTACCATCTGTACTTGCCTGGCTCATTACAATGTTCCAAACAATCGTATTCAGAGGCTCTGCAGATGCCGTCATTTTTCTTCAACATTCTCAAAATTTGTCATGCACGGGTAGCCTACAGTTCCTCCGCGTTCCGCTGGAACACGAAGCCTTTATTTTCAATCCAAGGTAATTTGCAATTGTTGACCATCATTGATTGAATGTTCGGAGAGTACTAAATCAACGTCTGTACATAATTGTTATAGTAGTCCACCCGATGGTGTATAGTCTTGCAATCCGAGTGTATGCTTTGCTTTGTATAGAAGTGGAAGTAAAGTCGTCAAGGACAAAACTTCGGGATACTGAGAGAGCACGTTCAAGTGATGGAGCTTCTCCGAGGGCTGAATGATGCGACTCTGCTCCCTTTACTTGCAAGGATGTTGGTGGTTGGGGCGTTCGTGGGTCGCGGTTATCACAGGCGGGAGGCAATTATAGGGGTTTGCTTGGATAGAAATGCCTGGGCTGCGGCAACACCACTGCCAAAGATTACGGGATATCCAACCTCGAGGAGCACGAGCTCCACTCCCGCCAAAGCTCCTAGTAATTGTAGCTGCACACACAGTGCTCCGGGGATTCAAGAAGTCAAGAATGCATCGTGTCAACACGTTGCAACAAAATTTGAACCTGAGATTCTATACAAAATTTTCAGGCTGAAAAGAGGAATTTTGGCCACTGCAATTCACCTCATTCACATAGCCTAGATGTCCAATGCGAAACACCTTTCCGTTCACTTCGCCGAGACCGAGACCAAGGCTGAGATTGTACTTCTTCCATGCAATCTTGATCACGTCGTTGCTGTCTAATGAAGACGGCACCACCACTCCTGTCACGACCGCGCTGTCCCACTGGGGCTTCCTTGCGCAGACGGTAAGTCCCCAAGCTCTCACAGCTCTCCTGCATTTCAGTCGAGAACCTTGCAAACTTAGATCTCGGGAGATACAAGCATCGCAATTTGAGAGTTCTGCAACAGCAGTCGTTTTAGGGGAACTTTCGTTTCAAGCACCTGGTTGCTTCAGCAAGACGCAGATGCCGGGCTATGACATTTTCCAGTCCCTCTTGTTTGAGGATAATGTCAAGGGAGGCACGCAGCCCGTAGAGCAGTTGGACGGACGGAGTGTAGGGGGAATACGTCCCTGCCTTGTAGCTTTTTAGATATTCTGCCCAGTCGAAGTAGCCCCGTGGGTATTTTGCTTGCTTGGAAGTTTCAATAGCTTTGAGGCTGGCGCAAAGGATACCTAGACCGGTTGGAAGAGATAGGGCTTTCTGGGATCCGGTGAGGGCCACGTCCACTCCCCAGTCGTCCATTCGAAAATCCATGGCGCCAACCGACGAGACTCCATCCACGAGTAGCAATGCAGGATGTCTTGCCTCGTCTGTCCAGGTACGGATTCGTGAGAATCTAAACAATGATAAGAAAGAGACGATGTGTTCGGACATCATGGTTGCCGATTTTCGACGACCTAACAGACTGAAATGCGTATTCTACTGATTGGAATCATGTGTACTGATTTGACGCACGAGGAATTGGAGGTGAAGAGTTAGGTACCAAGGGCTTTGCGAACGGCACTTAAGTCGTTAGTCACGCCCGTGGAGGTTTCGTTGTGCACCACGCAGACTGCCTTCACAGCATGAGTATGATCTGACTGCAGCTTCTGCTTGAGGATCTCCAGATCGATGCCCTCGCCCCACTCGCACTCGATCACATCCACGTTGAAGTGGAGACGGGTCATGAGGTTGATCCAGAGGACACAGAATTGGCCCATCCTCGGGACGATGATCCTGTCACCTGGTGACATCGTGTTGGTTAGCGCACTCTCCCATGCTCCTGTACCTGCAATAACAGTGATCGGACAGCATTTGGAATCATCAAAATGGTTGAGTCATGGAATTGAGAATGCGCCACGCATCCAACCATTGTCCCCAGCATTGGCACTGTGAGAATGAGAAATTTCAAAGTATTAGCCTGTTGTATAAATGAAATTGATTTGAAGTCCCCAACCAGGAAGCAAATCGATGCAATTTTACTTAAATGAGTTTATAGTAGATGCAACCGATTGCTGGCTGAGTTAGAACTTTGCCAAAGAGATTCAGGGCTTGAGAGCTGCATTCCGCAGGATCTCACAGATTTGCGTGGTACCTGAGGAAGGGAAGATGAAGGGGGTGCCAGTCTGTGTGCGGAACAGCAGCTTGACGTCCTCAAGAACGGACTTAGCCAGTGCGGGAAAAGTCGGCGATCGGTGATCCTCATTGTTGCGGTTCATGGCCTGCAGCACTCTGTCTGGAATGTTGGTAGGCCCCGGCACAAACAAGTGGTTTCTCCCTGGCGCTGGAAACAACTCCATCTCACCTGCTGGCTTGAACTCGTTCTCACAACCACCACTACTCTCCAGTCAACCAAACCGAGTTTCAGCAAATCTCACGAGAAAACTTCCTCCAGCTCCTTCGAATCAAGCAGCAACCGCTCATCTGTTATGAAATTCTCCAACTGCGTTGAATCACTGTAAACAAAGTTCTTGACAGCTTAATACCTTCCCACACCTTCACGCTGAGAGCCCGATTCAGCTTTTGAGACACACAAGACCTTGACTCCGTCAGCCCTATACTAGATCGTCTTTGACGTCTAATCAGCAACCAGCTACCTGAACATCAGCGTGATTGCCAGACAATCAGGCGAATGAGAACGACGATGCGGGATCCGCAGTGACGGGGTGGCTGATGATACACAACTCCTCCAACCATCACCTTCGATTCCAATGCAGGGGTGAAATTCGCCGTACAGGAACTAAGAAAACCCACCAATTCACTCCATTTAATACTACCAGCATTGTTATTATTTTTACTACTTTCAGTAAGTTGGAATCACAAAATCAGTAATGCCATGCACCCGCACTGAGCACCCAATCGAATGGTCCACGGAATTCCCCATCGGAAGCGATTGATTGCAGTTCCAATTTTGACGACAGGTGCAGTGAGCGTCTCGTGTTTTTAGCACTTACAGTGAGGAGGAATATTGTTTTACTGACAAACAACAGTGCCACAGAACACAAGGTCCTCTCGTTCCCACCCCCCTCCCAGTCGAATTCCAGTGACGGATCCAGTGGGCCCCAGGGAAACAGCCAAGATGCAACGGAGCAACTACAAATTTGAACAGTCAGCCGCCGAGGAGCGGGTTAATTGTGATTTACCCACGATAAGTCCATTACTGCCATGCAGTACGCAATAAGGACTTCGTCTAAGTTAGACAGATCGGGGCATGCGTGTGTATGTGTGAATGTGTATTATGAGTTTGGTGATTGTGTGGAAGAGTGGCATCAATAATGCTTGCATGATACGTGATCAGGGCCTGGGCAGGTCAGCGTGGAGCGGCGATGGAGGAGGAGGACGATAGAGAGAGCGCTTGCTTCACTGGCCATGGCGAAGCTGCCGCTGCAGGCCATGTCACGAGGGCTGCCTTTCCACCTCCTCACGGGGCCCTCTCCCGGTCCCTTTCGCAAGTGGGTCTCCCTGTGCCATGTCACCGTCTACGTGGCGTGGGGCTCGTTTCGACGTGGCGCGGACTGTGTATCTACGTGGCATGAGCGTGGGGTTTGGAGAACATGTGTGAGGAGATTTTAGTTTTACTTTGGTTTCAGTTATTAATAATCTCCACGAGGGGGTGAGAGTTTGGGACAATGCCTTAATGAGGTGTAACATGGCATTCCCAACACATAGCTTCATTATTTACTTATTTGTCTTCCCAAACAAAATATATAAATCCGGATGAGAATTACATTTTAAGAAAAAAATATCATGATGTCTAATATTATTGAAGTATATGATCATAGTCAAAAAAACAGTTTAAGTCCTTTGAGCATTTCAAATTACTTTTTTTGAAACATGAAAATTTAATCCTTCAGTTATTAATTGTATCTACCTAAAAACATGTTTTGTTTATTTTTTAATTAAGATATTTTTAGATGATTGTGCATCTATTAACATATATATATATATAGAGAGAGAGAGAGAGAGAGAGAGCAGTCATTTTAAGACTTTAGGATTGACACAAAAAAAAAACAAAAAACAAAAAACAAACAAACAAAACAAAATTGAATAAAACAAAACTATGAATATATAAAAGAGTAAATAAAACTATTGGTTAAAAAAAAATACATGTTCATTTAAAAAAGAAGAAACATAATAGAAGCTCAAATGATAATGATTTTAATGGTCCAGATTATGATAAGAATACCATTTACCTTGAAATTCAAAATTTAAAGCAATAATTATACACAGATTCAAGTATTGACAAGCAATGGCTATGAAGAGAATTTGACAAAATCTACAATGATCTTAAACTTTTATAAGAAGGCAGATTGCACCAAAATGTGTTTTTTTTTCATGGTTGACATTTCATAGGTTAGTAATGAAACCTCCCATCTTAGCTAATAGGCCCTAACCCAATACAATAAGATTATTTATGATCTTAAATTGTGTCCATAAAACAAATTAAAAAAAATAAACAATAAGTAAGGTTGTGGTGGTCAGCAGTGGGTCTCATGGTTGTGAGATGCCCATGTAAGTATGTGAGTGAGAGTGAGTGAGTGAGTGAGTGAGTGTGAGTGGTGTCAGCAGCACATATTCCTGTTGTTGTTGCATCACAACCATGATGGAGAAGAGAAGTGAGTGTGATTGTGGATTGCTTGGAATGGGATTTGGTGCAGTGTGTGTTTCTGTTTATCATGGAATTCAATATTTATTCTTGCAATGTTTCATGAATCAATGCAGAGAGAATGATGGGTTGCATTGGATGAGTAAGGAATTGGAGATTAGGGTTCAGAGAGGTTCTTACAATGAAGGGAAGAACCTTCCTTATTTAGTTGTGTATGTATATATATATATATATATATTGGAAAGAGAATTTTTGTTCTCCTCAAAGATGAGAAGTTTCTTTTTGGTTGTATATATATATATATATATACATGCTTTTTCCAAAAAGTTCCACAAACTTTGTGGAACAACTTTGTGATGTTTTGCATACAACTTTTTGGTGTATATATATATATATATATATATATATGATTTATTATTATTATTATTATTATTATTTATCTGGATTGATTAGTATTATAGTTTTGTTCCACAAAGTTGTATGCAAAACATATGTATACATTCTAGTACAATATGATTCTTACACATCAAAACTCCTTAAAATTTAATGTATATATATATACACATAAGTACATAAATGCATTTAATTTTTTAAAAATGATTTCTCATGGATCAGGAGTTATTTTTAATTATTTAATATTTAAAAATCATTGTATTTTATAAGTTTTTTATTTCTCCGAATTTTTTATATTTTTTATATTTGATATAATAAATATTTATAATTAAATTAAGAAATATTTGAATTTTTTTTGTTTTAGTTTTACTATAACATTATAAATTTTATTCTTATTATTATAATTTAATAGTTCTATTTTAATTTTTATTAAATTTAATTAATATTTTAAATTTTAAATTATTATATGATATTCTTGTTATGAATTTATTATACATTTTACTTTATATTTATTTGATTTTACTTTAAAATAGTATAATAAATAATATTTTAATTATAAAACATATACTATATATAACACATATTCTTTTATCAATTTTTATAAGATTTCATTGTATAATTTTATAATTTTATTAATGTTAAATTAATCTTAACTTTTATTAAATCCATGCATCTAATAAAACCATCATTACATCTTTCGTCCCTATCCATGTTCTCTCCATTTTAAGCACTTGTCTTCCATTCATGTTTCCTCCATTTCTAGCCTTGATGTACTTAACCAAGGTTAAAAATGGTTTAAAACCATTATCCTTGTTCTTAACCCCATTTTCTTGTCCAAACCCTCTCTCCCTCCTCTCCGCTCTCAGCTTTAGTTTCTTGTTCCCTTTAGTCTATGTCCTTATTCTTTATCTCCTTCCTTTTTTCCATCTCTTCTTTCATTCTCTACAAGACTATAATTCTATGATCTTGTAGAGATCCATTGTAATTGTCACGGATACAGAATACAGACTTGATATCTACCAAGAAGTTCAAGAAGAACTGGCAAGAACTAGATTAATCAGATGAATATAAGAACAACACCAGAGAGGTGAGCTAGAGCTCCAAGAGATGTGTTGTCGAGACTGAAGAACTCTTCAGCCTCGATCCCAATATATACTCCTATTTAGGAAGCTTCTCAAGCAACTTCTACCAACTAGGAAGCTTCTAGAAGGTTCTAGAGACTTGCTTCTAGAAGGTTCTAGAAACTTATCTCTAGATGGTTCTAAGGACTATGTCCCTAACATCTTCTACAAACTAAGAAGCTTCTAGAAGGTTCTAGAGACTTGCTTCTAGAAGGTTCCAGAAGCTTGTCTCTAAAAGGTTCTAGAAGCTTGTCTCTAGAAGGTTCTAGAAACTTGTCTCTAGAAGGTTCTAAGGACTATGTCCCTAACATCACCCCCTCCTTTAGCTTCGAGGTCTCTGAGAAGCAATGTTGTTGTCAATCAGTACCAACGTAAGAAAATGAAGATCTGTCACATAACGTCTGCTATGAACTCCAATTGTTGTTCACGAGGTAAGTGGTTCATCGGCCCTTGAAGCCAACGGTAGTAGCCTACTCCTTCAACTTTTGACCAAGCATGAACTTCCATGTCTTCATTGTGAAATTGTCCTGCAAATATGCCTTCTGGTTGACCATCGTAAGTAGGCTCGAACTCAAATACAATCACCAGTGATCGGTTACTTAGTATCCTTCATCGTCGTCGTGGTGCAAGTGGTTCTTCATCTCGAGGTCGCCTTCGTGAACTAGTTGGTTGAGATAATCTGATTGGCATAGTATCTATCTCTTGGCTATCCATATCAGAAGACCAAATTATGGCTACTGAAAAAAATTTATTTTATCTTGGAGAAAATAACTATATCAACTACAAATTTTGGTGGTCCTCTCTCCTTTTCTTATATTCTTGGGTGAACAAACTTCAGAAAGAAGCTATTGTTGAACCGGCTTAGGTTTATGAGGATGTTGTTGATGAAACTCCTGTACCTTTTGCGGCGCATTGGTGAGATTTTCAGCTGGCTCTCACGTTCGCTCATTAATGTCGTAGCCGCACCAATGAACAAGATACTCCAACTTGCCCCACCTTCGCCGAGAATCCAGCACCTTTTCAACCTCGTATTCCTCATGGTTCTCGATCTCAATACTAGGTGGCGGACATTGCACTCTTCCAGGAAAAGATGACTCTCGATAAGATTCCAACAAAGAAACATGAAAGACTGGATGTACTTTCATAGAAGCCGGTAATTCCAGACGGTACGCCACTAGATTGATTTATTTTTGGATGATAAATGGTCCCAATCTTCGATAGTCCAACTTATCACATGGTCGCTTGGTCTTGATATTCCGTCGAAGAAGCCATGCTTTATCTCCAATTTTGAAAGTAGGTGCTTGATTCCGAAATCTATCTGCAGACGCCTTGTAGGATTCTTGAGCAGATTGTAATTGAAGCTTCAACGTATTTTGAAGCTCTGATAGTTGTTTCGCAAATCCTTCAGCTGCTGGATTGTTATTTGTTGATGGACTCAATAAATCAAGCTTTGGATGATACTCATAGTTGGAAAAGAATGGTGTGTATTGAGTCGACGCATGGAGGGTGTTGTTATATGCAAACTCGGCTAGCGGTAGATATGTGGTCCAATCGTCTTGCTGATAATTGATGCTGCATCGTAAGTATTGTTCCAAGACTTGGTTCACCCGTTCCGTTTGACCGTCAGTTTGAGGATGAA